CCGCCTCGGCCTGGACGAGGGAGCAGCTCCTGCCCTCAAGCCGCGGTCAGGTGGGAGGGCAACCGCTTAAAGCCATTCCGGGAAGCACGGGATGCAAGTGTACGCTAGGTGTACGCTGGCTTTCCGCCGTCACCTGACAGGTGAGCGGGCACCTGGCTAGAAGATTCGCTTTGGCAGGCAGCGGCCCTGCTCCGGAGTAAGGAGATCCTTTTTCCTCCGTAAGCATAGGTGTGCTACCTCACATCTCTCCCACCTTTTGTTTACATCAGACTTTGGTCGGCGGAAAGTCTCAGCATGGTCTCTGTTCATCGAATGGAATTAGTCTGTGAAACATGCTTAGGTGAATGTAACTAAAGGAGGCATTCTGTGAAAGTTGGATTTACGTAGGGTTCTTGTACCTGAGGAAGGAGTGTCCAGAAGTATTTATACGTTTTGGCAAAAGACTTGGGCTAAGATCCTGTGCGGTTACACACCTAGATGCCTCCATGATCCCTGCAGCTCTGAAAGCAGCAGTTCCAAAGATTGGGTTCAGTGGGTTTATTTGATTTATCTCTGCGCGGAATCCAGCCTTGGCAAAGAACTCCCAAATCAAACATGTTGGATCGGTGTTTAGGTCATTCGGTTTTGGAATTCTTTCTTTAATAGCCACGCAGATTTTATAAACATTTTTCTATTTCTCCACATGTGTGCTTTTCTATAGGATTAAAAGTCTTAGAGGGATAAGTGATAAGATATCTGTCCTTGGGTTTTATTTTCTTCTCTCCCTCAATCTGGGAGCCCAACTTTGAGTGTGTGTTTGATTTCTCCTTTGAAAACGTCTTAGATGGAAATGGACTTGCTTTCTAAACTGGTTTTCAGAGGACACACGTTCTTTTTTTTTTTTTTTTGAGTCAGAATCTCACTCTCTTGCCCAGGCTGGAGTGCACTAGCACACTCACGGCCATCCCAGTGTCGACCTGCTGGGCTCCAGCAATCCTCGGCCTTCCAAGGAGCTGGAACTACAGGTGTGTGCTACCACCTAGCTAATTTTTAAAATTTATTTATTGTAGAGAGGAGGTCTTGCCATGTTGCCCGGGCTGGTCTCAAACCCCTGCGCTCAGGCAGTCCTCTCGCCTCAGCCTCCAAAAGTGCTGGGATGACAGGCTTGAGCCATTGTGCCCGGCCAAGGAGATTTAAATAACTGAGGGAGATGACTGCAGACCACCTATCCAGAGGAGATGGCGGGACAGGGTGGGGCCAAGGACATGGCTGTTCCCGGGCCAGAGAAGCAGGTGGATCTTCTCAGAGACGGTAGAGACGAAAGGAAGGACAGACAAAAACGGAGTTAATTGGGGGCTCTGATCTGCGTGGTCAGATGATCCAGGGGCTTGAGGAAGCAGATGTCTAAAGCAGATGCTTGGCAGGGTTGTCAGGCAGAGCCCTGGTGGGCTCGGCGTCTGTGGTGTGGGCTCGGTTCTGGGGTGTGGACAAGCTGAGCACATGGAACACCCAGCAGACACGCTCCAGGAGGGCAGCTTTGGCCAGGCTTGGGCGAGGAGGTGCTGCGTGCGAGACAAGGCCAAGTGCCTCGTGGGTATCCGGCTCTGCCGGGCCCGTCCTGACAGGCAAAGCTGCGTCCAGGAACATAGCAACAGCGAAGGCATAGGACAGACAGAACTAACGCTCGAGGCTCACCTGTGACCCCTGCCAGAAAACCTCCTGGCCAGGCTGTCCAGGGAATCGGAAGGGCAAAGCTGCTTCTTACTTCACCCGGCACATCTTGCTTCAGATCCTTTCGTGTGACAGCGCCTCATTCCCTGGACCCTGAATAGCGCCTATTTCAGGCCAAGTGGTCTCATTCCTTAGACCCCGAGTAGAAAGAAATGATTCCCATCCAAGGGCCTCATTCCCTAGACTCTGAGTAGAGCCTGCTCCAGGCCAAGGGACCTCATTCCTGGACCCTGAGTAGAAAGAAATGGTTCCAGCCCAAGGACCTCATTTCAGACTCTGAGTAGAGCCTGCTGCAAGCTAAGAGCCTCGTTCCTGGACCCGGAGTAGAGCCAGGGAGTTTTCTGGCAGGGGTCAGAGGTGAGCCTCAAACGTTAGTTCTGTCTGTCCTATTCCTTTGCTGTTGCTATGTTCCTGGACGCAGCTTTGCCTGTCAGGACGGGCCCGGCAGAGCCGGATACCCACGAGGCACTTGGCCTTGTCCCGCACACAGCGTCTCCTCGCCCAAGCCTGGCCAAAGCTGCCCTCCTGGAGCGTGCTGCTGGGTGGTCCATGTCCTCGGCCCGTCCACACCACAGACGCTGAGCCACCAGGGCTCTGCTGACAACCCTGCCAAGCGTCTGCTTTAGACACCTCTTCCTCAAGCCCCTGGATCATCTGGCCACGCAGATCAGAGCCCCTAATTACTCTGGTCCAGGGGGCTTCATTTCAGGATCCTGAGTAAACCCTACTCCAGCCCAAGAGACCTCATTCCCTAGCCTCTGAGTAGAGCCTACTCCAGGCCAAGGTGCCTCATTCCTGGATCCTGAATAGAGCCTCCTCCAGGCCAAGGGGTTTCGTTCCCAGACCCTGAGTAGAACTTATTCCAGGCCAAGACCCTGAGTAGAACTTATTCCAGGCCAAGACCCTCATTCCCGGACCTTGAGTAGATCTGCTCCAGGCTAAGGGCCCTCATTCCTGGATCCTGAGTAGAGCCTACTCCAGTTGAGTTTTCATTTTGTGCTTTGTTTTTTAATGTGCCCAGTTCTGAAATTCAACCTCAGAGATTCAGATACAAAAGTTCTGAGGCATGACTTAGGCATGTATAATTTTAAAAAGCTTAATAATTCTGATCACCAGCTAGGTTCTTGAATTATCGGGCAATATATTGTGTGAGGTCCATTGCCTATCAAAATGATGTCTTCAGTAGAGTATTGCTGGTGTTTTGTTTTTTTTTTAACCACTGACTTATCACTGCAGGTTACTAAAAATGTATCAATTTATATTTTATACATACACATTTAAATAATATATATACACATGTTTGAACCGGGCTGACGTCTGCAGAGTGTGGCTTCTTGCTGCGTGGCCTCCTAATCTGGTGGTTGGCCTGAATCCTTTGCTGGGAGCAGGAGCTTCCTTTCTTGCCGCTGGCTGCCACACCGCCGGTCTGCTCGCAGTTGTCCAGTCACTTGAAGTAGGGCCACAGGGCTTTCTTCAGGCATCTCCGGGCATCTCCCTGTCCTTCACTGCTGGGTCTGGCCCCTTTCAAGTGTCTGGCTGCCGACCCCACCATGCCCAGGAGCGCAGCATCCGGTGAAGGACCTCCATGACGGCTGTGCTCCGGAATCTTCAGGTTGGTGTCACGACCTGCCTGTGTAGGCGTCGAAGAAGCCCTGGACCATGGATGTCACAGCCGAGCCCTTGGTGCTGCTTTGGCCACACAAACGCAGGCATTCTCGCTTCTGACTTGAACGAGCGGGGCTGATGAGCAAGCCGCTTTCGTTTTTCAGGCACCGTGGGCACAACATCTACGAACCACGCACTTTCCAGGAGTCTGCCAAAAAATGTTTAGAAACCTGAAAAAAAGCACGTGCTCACACACAAACACACACACACACACACACACACACACACACACACACACACACGGAACGTATGGAAAACTCCAAAATGAAAATTAATGCATGTTTAATTAAATGTACAACAATATACATTGCCAGTTTCAGCCGTAGTTAAATTTAGTGTTCATTCAAATATCAGTGGTTTTGAAAGCAAATTATAGGTTAGATTTCCTTTTTGCTTATAATCACGGCCAGCCATAGTTAAGTTGCTCATAGCCAAGTGTTTTCAAAAACAAGTTATAAAAATCCTTTCAAGTTTTTATAGCAAGAATTTTTTTTTAATGTGGGCTGTGGATACATATTAATATTTTAAGTTGGGACTGCCAAAAAAGAAAAATACCTGGAGCTGTCCATGCTGTTAAAATCCTTGCCTGTGGGTGCCTGGTTCTGTGTACTTTAAAGAAATAGAGGTCCTGGCTTAAGTTAACTCCCATATTATGCCTATTTTGTTGTTGTTGTTGTTGTTTGAGTTGGAGTCTCACTCTGCCGCCCAAGCTGGAGTGTAGTGTCATGCTGATGGCCACCACAGCCTTGACCTGCTGGGCTCAGGAAATACTTCTGCCTCAGCCTTCCAAGTAGCTAGAAATATAGGCGTGGGGCACCACCACACCTGGCTTGTTTTTTGATTTATTGTAGAGACGTGGTCTCACCAAGTTCCCCAGGCTGGTCTCGAATCCCTGGACTCAGGCAATCCTCTCGCGTCAGCCTCCCAAAGTGCTGGGATGACAGGCCTGACCACCATGTCCAGCTTTATGCCTATAGTTTAACCTCCTATTTTCTAATATTCATTGTGCATTGCTTAATTAAGGGTCTCTGCTTTTTATGATGATGCTTGGTTCATAAATGTGCATCCTCTCAGATGGACTCAAATGCAGTGGAAAACATATATGCAGGAAGCTTTTGGGAAATGCAAGCACTTTTTTTTTTTTTTGAGTTGGAGTCTCACTCTGTTGCCCAGACTAGAGTGCAGTGGCCGCTCCCGGCCACTGCAGCCTCAACCTACGGGCTCCGGCGATCCTTCCGCCTCAGCCTTCCAAATAGCCGGAATTACAGGCGTGCGCTACCACGCCTGGCTGATTTTTTGATTTATTGTAGAGATGAGGTCTCGCTGCCCAGGGGTGTCTCGAACCCGCAGGCTCAGGCCATCCACTCACCTCAGCCTCCCGAAGGCGCGAGATGACAGGCTGAGCCACCGAGCCTGGCTGCAAGCACTTTTTAGCTGCTAATTCAATGAGCTTTGATTTCAGTTTAACCGACTCACAAAGCTAGACTTCGCCAGTTGTTTTGCCTGTAAAATAATTTGTGTGGGCGCACATGCCATGTGTTGTGAGCAGGCTTTCGTGTGGGTGCACATGCCATGTGTCGCATGAGGGCTTACTCGTAGTGCATGTGCCATGTGTTGTGCGTGACCTTTCGTACACGTGCACATGCTGTGTGTCGCATGAGGCCTTGCTGGTGGGTGCACGCTCCCTTCTCATCCAGTGCTGATGTGCTTTGAGGCAGGAAGTAAGAAATGTCCTTTTTCAAATGTCTCAAGCTATTCAGTATGTGGCCAGAGTCCATTTTTTCTAATGAGAACTTCATCTAAGAAATAAGAATATGTTATTAAAAGTTCCTTTTTTAAAAACTGCGAGGCTCCCTAACCTCCGCTGCCCCCGTTTCCTCCCTTGTGGGAGGGAGTTGGGCTGCATGACTTTGAGGTCCTGTTCATCGCTCACGTGCTCCACGCTGTGTGCCTTCTTCCTGACACGCTCTATGTGGACTCCCTAAAATAATTTCTTTCTTTTTTTTTTGAGTTGAGGTTTCGTTCTTGCCGCCCAGGCTGGAGTGCAGTGGCGCACTCACGGCCACCGCAGCCTCGATCTGCTGGACTCCAGCGATCCTTCCACCTCAGCTTTCTAAGTAGTCAGAACTACAGGCGAGCGCTACCATACCTGGCTCATTCTTGATATATTGTGGAGACAAGGTCTCACCAAGTTGCCTAGGCTGGGTCTCGAACCCCTGGGCTCAGGCAATCCTCTTGCCTCGGCCTCCCAAAATGCTGGGGTTACAGGTTGGGCCACCACGCCCGGCCAATAATTCTTTTCAACCTACATTGGTATTGGTTTTGTGGTTAGCAGATCCAAGGAAGGATGCCTGCGTATGTATATGTATGTACATATGTTCATATATGCATACATATGTGTATATGTGTGTGCACATGTGTGTGTGTGCATGTGTTGTATGTGTGTGTGAGCTTATCACCGCAGCATTCTCAGGCTTACTAATATTTTTGACTGAACTAAAGGAATGAAAGTGCTGATAAGAAAACAACAGAGGCTTGTGTCTCAGGGTCGGATTCCAGCTATAACAAATAGCCCTAATAGCTCAGCGGCTTAATGCAAGAAAATGAGACAGAACAAACTCGGTCAAAGCACACTGCCTGTTCCTATCCAGGGCCGTGAGCAAGGGCAGCGGGTCTCTGCTCCACGCGGCCACCCAGGGCCTCAGGGCCTCTTGTCCTGAGTGCCCTCTTCAGCATGGAGCTCCAGAGCTACCCCAGAGGGGACAGAAAGCAGAGAGTCACCGGGAGTGTCTCTGAGCCCGCCCTGGGCCCCTTTCTGCTGACCGGAGCTCAGCGGTGGGGCTCCAGTGGCACTGCCGGGAGGCTGCAGGGAGAAGGCCACGGGCCTGGGTGAGCGCCAGCACCCCCACCTCGCCTGGTCACCTGCCGCCCCAGTGCTGGGAGGCCCAGAGCGTGGGCTGGGGCATGCTGGGACCTCTACCCTGCCCGCCAGCCAGCCGCTGGTCCCTCTCATCAGCTCACACCACTTCTCTCCCATCTCATTCCTGCTCTTTTATGGGACACCTTGGTGGGGAGGGCTTGTGTAAGTGTGGCGGGGATCCTGAGAAGTGGGTTTCACAGGAAGACAGGTGGACAGGATGGCCCCTGGAAGAGTGGCCGGAACGTCAGAGAGGCATGGGAGGCAGCCGGGGTACCAGGCAAGTTTGAGACGGGAAGTAATTATTCCAACAGGAGGCAGATCCCATGGGGAAAGTTCTGCTTCTCCTTGGAGGAGGAGGTGGAACCTGAAATAAAATTTTTGAACCCATTATGACATTTAGATGGAAGAGCCTCTTGTGCTCACTGTATTGGACAGGCTGGCATCCCAGCTGAGAATGGGAACCATTTGAGAGTATGTCATTCCAGCTGTTAGGCTTGAACACTTAAAAATAGCGCACACACGTTCAGCATTTTAAGGGTATGTGTTTGCAAAGAATACCATCTGCTTTCTGCTTTAGTTTCTTCCATCATGGAGTGGGAAGCAAACATGTTCTATCCGCAAGCCCATGGCGACCAGCTTTCAGGAGACCTACCTGTGGTCAAGACTGAGCCATTGCTCAGGGAATCTCCCCATTCTCTTGAAGCTGCAGTTGCAGGCACCAGGGTCGTCCCCAAGTAACAGATCCTTGCAGTAGAGACGCCTGTCCAAGGCTCTCCTAGGTCATGAAAGGCCCTACTTCCGCTCTTTGTCTGGCCATTAATGACCAAAAATGGATCCCCCTTCTCCTGTGAGATACTCAGATTAGTAAAAACACCTCTGGAAGCAAGTTCCTACTTGAGTCTGCTGGTGACATCTCTTATACCTACAACTTGCCCTGGGCAATGTCACGGAACCAGCAGACACCAGAGTCCTGCCAGGAAGAACCCAAGCGGAAGGCAAAGGCAGTGAATCTTGGCGTCCAGGGCCAGACGGAGTTTGGCCCCGAGTGTGAGAAGGAGTCGGGCAGGCCTGTTCGGAAAGCTGCAGAAAGCACCCGCGCCACTGACACCCGCACTTCTCTTCCAGGGCTTTCCAGGAAAGGACGGCTCCTCCGGCCCTCCAGGACCACCAGGCCCGATTGTAAGCACTTCCAGAAGCTTCTGGGACGTACTCTGTTCCTTCGGGGGGGTCTTCTTTCTCCAGGCCTGTCCCTGGGCTGCCCTCCTTGCCGGGGCGTGGTGACCCGTCCCTTGGTGCAGAACTCTCCCTGACAGCTCTGAAAGCTCGTGTGTCCATGTGGCTCGGTCACTTGGTCTCAAAGCCACATTGCCCTCAGGTCACCCTGTAGGTACTCGCCCTAACACAGTTCTAAAAAAATCCGTGTCCGTGTGACTCAGTCACTCGACCTCAGAGCCACCTGGTTCCGAGGTCACTTGCACCGATTTAGCTTTCCTTAGAAACCGGTAGGGTCTGAACGTGAAACACCCACACGGACTGCGGGTGGCGGCTTCAAGACTGAGTCGGGAGCAGGATGGGGCAGGGAACTTCAAGGTCAGGTGACGGGCTGCTGTCTCCGGTGCTCTGGCTTGGAGGCTGGCAGTCATCAGTGGGACTGTGGGAGTCCTCACCTGCTCCGCTTTCCTCCCGCCAGGGCATTCCCGGAGCCCCTGGAGTCCCAGGAGTCACAGGAAGCGTGGGACCGCAAGGCGCCCTGGGACCGCCGGTGAGTGTGCGCAGCCAGTCGCCACGTGTGTTCAGTCCACGCGTGTGTCTATGTGTGTAGCTCTCCCGGTGTCTCGGTGGTCAGAAATGCCGGTTCTGCCTGGGCCATCACGGGAACCCAGGAAGGAAACCAGAGGCGCTCCCCAGGATCCAGATCCGGGGCGGGCTGCTGGGTCGTGGGAGAGGAGGGGCCCAGCAGGGATGCTTGGTCGTGTCGCTTCCGTCTCCCGGCTCATCCCTCTGTACCTGGCCGAGCAAACTCAGTCTCCCGTTACGGGGATTCGGGGCAGTCACCGTGCGTCAACCAAGGCCGGCTCCTACCGGGAGCAGAGAGGAGGCTTGGGAAATTCCGAGTTGGGTGGGCGTGGGCATCAACGTTTCTTTCCAGAATCCTACAAGGAAGAACGGGCGCTCCATTGACACACGCAGTGAAGCGTGATATCATGAGGGCATGGCGGACAGGACTCAGCCCCGGTGTCTGGGCCTCCCCCTCTGGGGTCCATGGGAGGGGTGGGGAAGCAAGCGGCCCGTGGCCTGCTTCCTCCTCTGAGAGGAGAGGACGCGTGGCAGGCCCGGGAGCCTCGCGGGCACCTCTGGAGGCCGACGCAGGGGCGGGCGAGTGGCTGGCATCTTCCGGGGGGGCCGAGTCCACCTCCCAAACCAAAGCAGCTAACGTGTGTCAAGGTCTGCCCTGGCGCAAACACACGAGGACCCCGTGGACAACGAGACCTCCCAAACGAGGGTGGGAGAGGACAGTGGGTGCGATTCCTCTCGCTGCTAAACAGATTGCTGCCTGCTCAGCGGCTTGAAACAGCACGCCTGTGTCACTGTACAGCTGTCAGTGAGAAGTCTGGCAGGGCTCTGGCTGAGCTGAAAGCAAGGTGCTGCGTCCCCTGGAGGGGGCCTTCTGGGGGGACGTTTCCTGGCCTCTCCGAGCTCCTGGAGGTCCCCTGCCCTAGCTTGTTGCCCCTTCGTCCCCAGAGCCAGTAGTGCTGTGTCCCTCTGGCCGTTCTTCCGTGGTCTCCTTGCTGACCACAGCCAGGGGAGATTCTCTGCTTTTGAGGACCTCTGTGATTACTTTGGCCACCCGGATGATTCTGGATAATCTCCCTAGTTAATCCCCAGATCTTTAACCGAGAGTTACATTTTTTTTTTGAGTTGGAGTCTCATTGTCACCCAGACTGGAATGCAGTGGCTGCTCCTGGCCACCGCAGCCTCGACCTGCTGGGCTCCGGCAATCTGCT